TTTGACAAGCATGTGATACGATCGTAAGTGTCAGCAATAAAATATATTCACCGCAGGAGTTAATGTCCAATGATAATGTTGAATGATATTCAAATATAAATGAGCTAATTACCGATAGTCGTTTATTTGGTACATACCATGTGCACTTTTATCATCAATAGATGATTATAGAAACTCATTATCAAAATTGTTTCTGTCAATCATTTTGTTTGTTTCGATGAAAAAAACAAGGTTTGTTATTGTGATCCCGCTAGTAGTCAATTCAAAATTCAAATAACAAGCAACAATGTATGTCGTTTTTGATCATTATCTGTGTGAAATCTGTATCTTTGCCCTGCGCTACATAGGTGGTGACCTCATGTCTTGTTTTGGTTGTACGCTAAATCAATATTTACCGACTGGACAACCGTCTTCAGTGTCGCCCTGTTTCCTGCATTTAGGTGATCATTGACCTTGGCATTGTTCTGATTGAACTTTGTGTACTATTTAGTTGTGCATTTTCTTTCATCAATGCTGTGGTCATTTTATTTAGCCAGTAGACCATTATATTGGCTTGCTGAGGCACACAATAGATGATCAGTATTTTTAGCCTACTGTTCACAAAAGACTGCCACTTGGCAGAATGTCAATAATAGGTTTGTCTTTTCAAATCGTCGTCTGCATCAACAATTGTTGATGTATTTCTGTGCACCACATGCTATATTTTTGATTCCCAACTGTTTTCCAATCTTTTTTTTTTTTTTTCATCACAATTCTGTAAATTTAAATAAAATGTCTCAGAGGAATCATATAATACATATCAAGTTATTGGTTTTTTTTTTTTGGGGGGGGGGGGTAGTATTCTTTTCAATTTCGTTCTCAAATTCAGTTATAAAAATATTTATAGGAGGAATTCATGAAACTGATTTTCAAAAAATATGAACATCGAAAAAAAACAAAAACACGCTGAGTTACTACCAGAATTACGGTAGTGGCTATGGAAGCTTAGCTACTGTGGATTATTTTCGTTGGCTGATTGGTTGTTGCCAGATATAGAAATTATAGATGTTGATGTACAGCTACAATTGTGAGATAGCAGATTGTACTTGCTTCCAAGATATAAACATACAATAAAGATAAAAAAAATGAAAGTAAGACACCAGTGATTTGACTCGCCAAGTAGACTGCATATGTTCCATTAGAAATACAACCAAAGTTACATAGAGTGCTCAGACTATATTTTACGGGAAAAAACACTACTGTATATCATTTTGTTAATGCTCAAATCTTATTGCTTTTGAAATAACAGTTGTATGGGTAGATAATTAAGATTTCTGGTGGTCATGTTACGTTATATATCAAGCATTGGTAAAGCATTTCTGTGACATTAAAATCATGTAAACTATAAAGCATGTAAAAATGATTAATTTTTCAATCATATCCATGCATGTGCGCTCTTAGTGCATTTTTTTGTCACAATTTTGACTGTATATACACAGGCACATGTTTGCCTGCACATGTTCCGGGTCATCCACTCATTTTCTACTGAGATATTGAGCTGTACATTGCCATCAAGTTGATTTCTCCCTCTCCCTCCGTCCTATTTTTTTCAGCTTGTTTGGTTTTTGAATTACTCTTTAGCTTCTGTCTTGTGTTTTCTTGTCATTTTTTTTTTTGTATCCAGGTTACCAATCTAGGTATAGGTTGTACATTTGTGTAATTATAATTAAAAATTATGCGAACTACATGTGTATCTTAGCATTAGAATGATTGTTGATTTACCCTAAGTCGTAATTTTAAACATCATTTTTCATTAACAGACTGTTGGTATTTGCTCCATGAATTTCTAAAATAATGAAATGTACATTATTTGTTTATGCTTACTCTAGATGATACGGACACAGGAGCTGGTGAGGCAGCTAGCATCGGTCGGTATGAAAGTGAACAAACCACAGCGTGGTAAATCGGCTTCCATGCCATGGGCGTCAAGGTCAAAAAGTAGTGAAAATATGAATAATGATGATGATCCACCTAAGAGTGGACTTAAGGTATGTTGACTTTCAGTCACACTCGATACAGGGTACGAAATACAGTTTAAAGTATTCTTCGCAGTCATCGCACAATTTCTTATAAAGCGAACAGTGTTTTAGACATGTTGTAATCATCACATGGACTTATATCAGAAATAAAGTGCTCTGATTACCGGTACTCTGACGCTATTAAAAATTAATAATTTTATTCCCCAGGCATGGTGGTCAAGAATGTCTAATCGTTTTCGTAATTTAAAGCTCACAAGTACATTCCGTGCCAGATTTTCGTCCAATCGTCTACAACCATTCCATGATGAAAACACCACAACTGACGCCACCTTGAAAGCTGAGCGAGAGAAAAATGACCACAAACGGAAATCCAGTTCTACTATGAATCTAGATGAGTTAGATAGAAAACTGAGCAGTCCTAAAAAATCAGCAAGTAGGTATCTCAAAGTACACCAACATAATCATGGTTATTTTCCTCATCTACAATGTGATACTGATGTCTGTAGCTCTCAAGTTACTATGAAAAACAATAAACATTATACTTGTATTAAAAAAAAAAAAAAAATATTGCTGACAAAAATTAAAACAGCTGAATCAAAAGCTGTGTTCTAAGGCCTTATGTCGAGTGTTTTGAGAATGATACTGTGAAATACTTTATTTTAGCTGGAATTAATTTTCGCTGAAGCGACTTTTTTTGGGTGTTTTGTATGGATTTTATTTTCACTGATTTTGGACGAGTTGAATATAAAATATACAAAAAAAAATATATTCGCTGGATTTCTGAATCATGCCTTCAGTGAAATTACGGTAGCGAAAATTAATTCCAAGCGAAAATAAAGTATTTTACAGTAAATCCCAGACCACCTTTTTTTTATGGCCAAACAGCCAGATCATGTACATAGGGTATGACGCTCATTGATTAGTGAAAATGTCAAATGAGTCATATTAAGGATTTATAAATATGGATATACGACTTCCATAACCACATATGGTGGTATGCAATGAAGATTTCATGAGAAGCGAATGTGATTTGCGAATTATAATTTAACGTAGTTTTAACCAATAGCATCACATAATGCAGTGGGAACTTGGAAATGTCTGGTTGCATAAACAGAAATGAGCGTGACTATCAGCACATTCAACAATGTAAAAAATATGCTTTGTGAATATTAAAGCAAGGACACTCGCTAAAATAGTCTGATGTAAACACAACGCAGTTCTTTCACAGATTCTGAATGGTACATGTATATTAAATAATGACATTCAAGAAGCTTTCATTTCCTGTCCCCCATGTTTCACATTGCCATACCACAGTTGGCATAGTACACCAGCTAATAGTTATAACGCACTACTGTGTGGCAATTAGCCAATCAGTGGCTAGAATTATTACGACATTGATTAATGTCTTGTTATTATGTGTACTTTATTTCTAGGTATTGACAGTGGTTTAGATAACAGTCAGACCAGTAAAGCACTCTATACCTTGGTGAGTCAAGTCAACAGACATTGTTAAGTAGTTGTTTTCAATAGTACTTTAATAATAATATCATGACTGTTCAAACACTCATGCGTTTATTTATGCTTTTAACAATGGTGTTGTCAATGCAGTAAGGTACTGTTAGTATTTTATCAACCTAGAGTACCTAGTCTAATAAACATAATCGTATATCATATTTTAGGACGGCTGAGTAATTCTTCTTTATAATTGGTAATTATTTTTCTAAATTAACCATTTCCAAAAAAATGGTGTGCAACATTACATGATTACATTAAACAGCTATGCTAAAAATATCTCTGGTTTTCTCTGAGTGGGTTTTATCTTTGAAGTCAGGAAGGGTATTGCATACTTAGTGATGAAATTGATTAATAATAATTAATATAATTAACATAAAAAAAAGGATGTTAAGGAAATTTCATAGAAACAAAACAAACTGCCATGCACAATTTAAAAAAAAAAAAATATTAAAACAAAATTGTCATCATCAAAATCATGAAAAAATTATGCAAATCATTATATCTTGCCTTGCAGTATTTATTGTTAGAGTGTCAGTGAAATGGGTATGGACACTTGTCATTAAAAAAATCAAAAGGCCACCAGTCTGCCATTTTGAATCAAGTCACAAAACAAACTGATTTGCCATCAGTAGCCAATTATGTAATGTTTATACCAGGCTATATGTATTTCATGATGAAATTGTGTGATTTCAGTCACAAATTAGCGAATA